ACACCTGGAACTTTTAAGAAGTAGTAGTAGTAAACGTGAACCTTTTATGAATTTTGACCGAGAGGTTTCGAAGAATAATCTGAACGCCAAACCTAGAGAACTATCTGAACTCTAAAATTGAAGTCTAAAATAGCATTCTTACCAAAGGTTTTGAAGAACTATATGACCTGTAAATTGAAACTTTAAAGAAAGGATTTGGAGGACTATCAGAACTTTAAATGTTTATATTTTAAGAATTGTTTGGTAGGATCAATTAAGCAGGTTTTTGGATAACTGTCTGAACTCTAAACATTAATATTATAAGAAGAGTTTCGATAATATATCTGAATTCTTAATGTATAAGGAAGGATTTTTTGAGGAGGGTTGAGGGGCCTATCTGATGTGTATGTTATAGGAAAGACTTGGGAGGACTCAATACTTTAAACGAAGCTAATTATCTGAACTCTGAATATAAATATTCTAAGAATAGATTTGAAGATATAATCGTGATAATCACCTACATCTAAATACAAATTTCACAAGAGAACTTTTGGAACTGAACTGTCAACATGACCATTCCAACTATAGTTTTGGGAGAATAATATAACTTTTGAGGTGTTTGAATATTTTATGAAAGAGTTCCGATTTTTTTATGAAATGTTTTAATTACCCACATTGTATTAAAATCTGGATCACTCAAAGGAAGATTTGAGGGACTGAAAGAGCACCACTCCTGAGTCTTTTGAGAAATATTGTAAGGAAATATTTAAAAAGATTATGTCTTAAAAATTTGTGATATAGTATGCCACAAACTTGATATTATTTTTTTTGAGATTTTCGCAATTTTGAAGTATGAAGAAAAAGAGGACATTTACTAGTTACATCAAAATTAAAATATTGTTTAACCATTTGGCCTTTACTGTACTATCTTTAAATTGTAAGTGTCTCTCAAGATAATTGTTTGTTTTGAACTATGTTTTTGAAACTTGATTTATGTTATTTCTGTTTTTGCGGTAAAACATCTGAAAAAGCTTATGCACTGAGCTTTATCTGAAGTTTTCAAAAGTTAGTTAATACACAAACCTTTTGAATTTAGTTTATACTTATAAACTTGTAATATAAACGCGATTTACATACCGATTTTTAAATAAAATGTTAATTCTTTGGTGATATTGTTTTAAGCTGAGCGGCATGAAAACAGATCTCACATTCAGATGCTGACAAATATGATGCTACTCGGTATACAAACAAACTGTTTTTGTATTAAACCTTACTTTATGTGCAGTAAAATTGCTATTAATTTTATTGTTAAAATTTGGTCGCGGATTGTCACAACTAATGTCTATAAGAGTTAATATCGTTAAATTAGTCAATAATTTTTTATGATGTGTTAAAAAATATATCAAAGTATATTGCACGCAATTTATGCTCCTAGGAACAACATACACGTTCCTATTAATTATTATAGGTTAATTTGAAATATTGATTACAAATAATGATAGACACTCACCGCCAGAAAAAAAACTTTAGCTTTTTATAAAATAATGTATCAGAATGTCATTGCTCGTTCATGAATAGGATCCTAGATAAGGTCAACAATCTTGTCGATAATTTGTTTTTAAATTTTATTAAATCAATATAAATTGATTGACAACTCAAACATGCAATTACAAACTTCATTAATTATTAGAATCTAGATATTAAGAAAAAATTATTTTTTGCAATGCATTTCATTTGATCCGCCTTAAGGTCATTAACACAAATCAATGATTTTTATTGCCTTTGCTATAACTCGTGGCTATAATTCCTAAAAGAAAAAATCTAGATCGTTGAAATTCTGATAATGATCATGAATATATTGTGTCTGCTAGTTGAATGACCTAATGTCCTGACTCTACCTCCATTGACATTTCGTGAGGATCGGATGAAAATTGCTACCTGCATATAATATTCTCAACATATAGTGTTATAGGGTGTAATTAAACTTTAAAAATTTTACAGTTCAAAATTCAAATTTAAATTAGAAACTATTCTTGATCAGCTTAAAATTCTAAAACGATTTAGCACTGTCCGTCTGTGGTAATTACTCTAGAGTCAATACGAATAAAGATATGAAGTTAAAATTTTGCACAGATCAGTCTTGTCTGCGGACAGGTCAAGTTTGAAGATGGGCTATATCGGCCCACGATATCGTATAACCCCCCATATAACGGTACCCACATATATTCGTTATTTTGATAATTTTAGCTACATTTTTCAATGGAATTGTGGGAAATGCTACACAGGGAGTTCCTTACGAGTATTTTATCCACTGGAAGAGAATTGTTTATATAGGTCTACGATATCGTACTGCCCCCAACTCCCTTTATTGGGTATTTGGATGATTTTAGGGAATTATTTGAAATTTCGTATTTAAAGTTTATAAAGGGTATAACAGACAACGAGAAAAAAATATTCCTTTGAGCTATATTTTTCGACGGAATTTTTTGGAAACATCTCCAGTTCCTTCAAAATGTTGGAAGGCCGAACTTAGCTTCTTTTTTACTTGTTTACATTAAAGTAATGGTATATTTTATACTCTGAATGTTATTCGATAACCATCCAAATAATAGGCTTCTGTCCAAACCTAAACTGTAGACCCGTGCAAAATTCAGAGTCGATTAGTCTCTAATTGTGACCTCTAGAGCAACTGTAAAATCAAGCAATTTTTCTGTTTTTGTCCATTTTGACCACATTGGATAGCCCCCTTAGTCGAAATCCAACAGCCCTGCAAAAATGTTACCTTTGGTTTTAGACAGGTGAAATTTGTCCAATATTTCCGTCCTCCATTTGCCATCATCTCCCCCTAAACAATAAGGTTCTATTCTGACCATAAACCTAACCTCTATGCAACATTTTTTGGCTATCTGTCCATAATTGCGAGATGTAGCAACAGACGGACGGACGCAAATACATAGGTAGATGGACACAGTTCGGCGATATAGGAAGATCTATATATACATTCCTATGTACAGGTCCAATATTTCGAGTTGCAACTTAACTTTTGGCCCAATCAAACTTATAATACCAACAAGTAAGTAAAGGCTATAGTTGTACGGGGCCGATCACTACAATATGTTAGAAGTCCCCTTATGTTCAAATCGACTTTGGATGATTTTGCTTTTGAAATGATGTCATAGATCACTGCCCTGATATTATTCTTAGCTTTTTGACCAGGGATATTTTCCCAATATTAACGCACTTCGTCGTGTTGTTATTTATTGTGGTCCATTTTAAAGCTAAATATAATCCAATGGTCATCCAAAATGCTAAATTTCTTCGCTGTTCTTAACTCTCTTCTCAGGCGTGTCAATTGGTTTCAATTGTGTGATCATGAAAATTTTTCTGTTTTTGGTTCATTTGAACCTCTAAAGATTTTGCCATCATCTCCAAATGCAAGAGACCCTTTGCTTGTCTACGATATTTGGCTATATTCGTCAACGAAATAAGCATAGCCAGAAGTTCGTCTTTTGTGTATTTTGGATTTCGCCTGTAAGTTATTTTAAGTGTTTCGGATGAATGGCAATGTTGGTAGTAGTGGTCTATTCTACCTGCTGTTCTGAACTTGTATATCATTCGAGATTTCGTCTTCTTTGTTTCTATTTGCGACCTTTTCAATGGCTGCAAAATCGGGGACATTTTTAGTTGTTGGTCCATTTCAACCCATAAATATGTTGCTGAAATCTTTAAATAGAATAGGTCTAGCCATACCCATATGAATATTTTTGTGAGGATCGGACGGTAATTGCAATCTTTATATAATTACCCCCACCTGTGTTATAAGATGAAAAAATATTTCAAAATATACGCTTCAATATTATAAGTCAAATTGAAAAAATAGCATGCGATAAAAAAGATGAAAAAATAAAAAAATGTCACAAATACTACATCTACATATACATCATTATTGGCATCTTTTAATTTTTTTAGATTTTATTCTTTAATGCCAAGAGGGCATTCTGAATTGACAAAATTTGTCAAAATCGGCCCAGCCATTCATGAGATATGTGCATTCTAGCTAACATCCCCTTCCTTTGTTTATATTTCGCTATATATATCCGATATATTTACTTTCGACATTTATATAACGGTCAGAATTGACCTGTTCCTCTTTTTGTGATTTCGCCGAGATTAAAAATATTCGCGGTTTAATGAAAAATTTTATTTTTATTTAACACAAACGTTATGGTCTTTTTCACTCTCTAAATATTACCCGATGACCTTCAAAATTGGAAGGCTCCTTCCCAGCCCTAAGTTGTAGCTCCATGCTAACTTCAGTGATCCGCGTCGATTGGTCTATAAATGCGACCTACACCTACTACAAAATCAGTAAATTTTGCAGTTTTTGGTCCATTTCGACCCCTAAATATTATGCGATCATCTCCAAAAGCAAAAGAGCCTAGTCCCAACTCCATTCTAAATTTCGTGAAGATCGGGCCATAATTGCGATATGTAGCTTGATTATAAATTAACATGGGCAGACGGGCGGACGGAAATACATAGCCAGATCGACTTAGCTCGATAAGATAGGAAGATCCATAGTATATTTCCTGTGTGGGAAACCAATATTTCGAGGTGTTACATAATTTTTGGCCCAATCAAACACATATTGTTATAGGATATAATGAAAAATATTAGGTAAAAGTGAGAAACTCGAATTTTAAATAAAATGCAAAGAACTACAAATGGAAAAAATTTGAACTAAAAATAGAATAATTCGCATTTTGAGTGAAGGGTAACGAATTACAAATAGATTTCATGAATTACGTTTGAAATGTAAAAAGTAGATGTTTTGATTTACATCTGCATAAGGTAGATCCCATACCTTATATAATTTAGTTTATGAAAGTTTGACAATAATGCCTACCACTATCTAGAGAAGGCGTTTATTTCTCATCATATTGATAATTTTATAATTTTTTGCACAGCGTTCTGAAATTTGTTTAATTTGTTAAACATTAATACTAAACATTGTTTGCAAATCTTATTAACATTATTTTTATTTAAAAAAATATTACGACTAATTTGTATTTGTTAATTATCTACAAGACGATTGGCCACATGGCTATTTGTTTTATTTTTAGTTTAATAAAAGAAATACCAGTTTCGGGCCGCTGTCATTAAAGAGCGTTTTAATTAATGCCTTCTTCATAAAAAGCACTTAGTCTCTTATGTGTGTAGTTTGTTAAACCAAATTACCTTCTTTTGGGTAAATGTCTCATAAAAATTGTTCTAATTATTTAAAGATGCCTAAACTTGTGTTATGTGTTAAATTCAATGGCTGGTTTCTCATAAACATAACCCTGAAACGAGTCATGGTTTTCTATGGATTTGAGGCTTTCCTTAGAATTGTTGTCGCCATGTTCGTTGGGACTTTGGGTTGTGGAATTTGAATTTGAATTCGTTTTGTAAAATTTTAAATTTGTGGTATTTTTTGGTGTGAAAACATGTTCATAATCATCGAATACGGTCAGATCATTGGCAAAGGAGGTATCATCGCCAGGTTTGAAAATTACTTCTGGCTTTACATAGGTCAATGGGGTTTCGTCGTGTACATTAAACAATTCGAAGCCTGTCTCAGGACCATGATGATGATTGATAAATTCCAAATCTATGATGTCACTAAATTTAGCAGGATATTGATTTTCGGTTTTATAGATGTCTTCAGTTTTGGGGTTTTGGGGAGCTGACGTTGTTGTTTCGGTAAGTGACTCTTTTTGAGGTTCTTTGGCACGATATTTATCTATGGGCGGTAACATTTCCTCGTTGGGTGTTAGGGAACTTGGTGCAAATACGGGTGTAAAAAGAGGTTTCACCTCATCCCTGAATGCCGATGGGAAATCCACAACAATTGGCGTGAGATAATTCACCTTTTCCGGCAACGGATCATCAATGGCCTTGGGTTGTGAAAGTCGATAATGATGTCTGAGGTTCTTTGCATTTTTGTGTGTAACCAATTCATTTTTATGGGCAATTGTATAGTGATAGCCTCCTCGATTAACTGCTGCCTCCAAACAACATAATTTCACCAAAATTGAAACTAAAAAACACACCCACTCGAATTTCTGAAAATATTTAAAAATTTAGTATCTTTTTATTAAATTTCTTTTTTCAAAAAAACTAACCATTTTGATTTTTCCCGCACAATTTCTTTGTTAACCGTTCCGCAACTTCAATGCAAATGTTTCGAAAATCTCCTTATTCCTCATTCTTTATTTAATAAAAAAAAAAACGCAAACATTTAAATTGTCGCCTTAACAAATCAAGTCAGTTGTCACTTTCTGTTCACTTTGTTTTGCTCTCGTTTCGTTTCTTGTTTTTGAAATATTTTCTCACACTTACACCCTACGTGAAGTTGATGCGGCCTTTAATTAGAACATGGAATTTTAGCATGTTGGCATTTTCTTGGAATTTAAATTAATTTATTATTTTACATTCATTTAACGACATGTAATCTTCATTTTTGTATTTTTTTCAATAGCTATCCCATTTAACTTACTTCCTTCGCTGGTTTTTTTTTTAACAATGTTGTTTTTGAAAGTCTAAGATAATCGCTGTAATTAATTTTTGGATTTACTAGCAGTTTGGGTAATACAACCAACTAAGTGAATAATTTGTCTGATGTTAATGATTAATTAAATTTAATATTGACAAACTTGAATGGGATTTTATTAGCGAAGTGGGAGCAAGTGAAATGACTTAATAACTAATTCTGAAACGATGTTTCATAAAATTTATACTGTGGAACAAATTCGGGGTTTGGAAATTTAAAGATCAAGTAAAGAACCAAGGTTAGTTGAAACAAGTAAATAAACAAATAAAGCAAAAAAAAAAAAAAAAATCGGTCGATAAATATCGCTCAAAAGAAAACCGTCAATTAATTATTTATCGAGGTCGATGAGGTCGATTTCGATGTCTGATTCCCAACATGGTCTATGCAAAAACGTGGACCCGCATAGACAATTTTTCGTCACAGGCTGTAGTACCCATTACGAACTTGAAAAACAAAATTTGAAACATGTTTGTTTTCTCTTTCGAGACGAGCTTAATGATCAGGAATTTGCAGTGAAAAGGAAAGCCAGATAGACACTATCACACACTCACCACTATGCGACGCGTTTCGCCGTTGGTTAAGCGGCACATCAGGCATATTTGGTGTGGATGATGGCTTACAAGGGCCGTTCTCTGGAAAGTAGTATATATTTCGAATTTATTGCAAATTAGCATATGCGAATTATACACTAGAAACTCTCCAGGTTCGACTCAAGTTCTATTGGCAGATCTTTTTCACAACAAAGTTTTGTTTTGAAACAATTCCGGCCAGAAATGACGATAAAATCACATATATGAAGGATTTACGATATTGTGGACCTATACAGGGTGAGATGAAAAAAGTTCAACCAACTTCAGACTGCCGTCATTTCTAAGCCACTTGTCCGACAGCTGTTAAAATCATTCCAGTGACAGCTCATTATACTGTTTACAAGCGTGCAAAAGCATTTTGGTGAGAATTTTCCAGAAAAAAAGTTAATCGTGATGGAATTCAAGCGTGATAGTGTGATTTCTTTATATTTGGCAGGAAAACCACAAGTGGCTATCGTTAGAGCACTCCAGCATGTAAATGTGAATAAATCTTGTGTGCCTCGTTCCATCGCTCGTTACCGTGATACTGGTAGCGTAGCCCGAAGTCAAGGAAGTGGACGTGGACGAAAGAAAACAGCAACATCAGCAGAAATGGTTGGAAATGTAAAGAAGCGACTTAATCGAAACCCGCGTCGCAGTGGCCGAAAAGTGGCTGGTGAGCTTAATATATCGCAATATTCCATTCGGAAAATATTGAAAAATGAGGTAAAGCCATTGAAATTTAAAAAAGTGCAGAACTTACACCGCAACAGCATCAGAAGAAAATAGACTCAAGAGAGCTAAAGAGTTGCTTCTCTTGACCGAAAGTGGTGAACTGCCGAATTTGGTTTTCTCCGATGTGAAAACATTCATTGTCCAGCAGTTTGTAAACAAACAAAATGAACACGATCTTGCCAAAGAGGTCAGCTGAAAATGTGCACCTTCGGTTGGCCACCAGAACTCAATCGCCAGCGATGGTGATGGTGTGAGCCGCCATAACAGTCGATGGTCGCTCTCCGCTTTTATTAATCGACCGTGGCATCAGAATAAATGCCGATTACTATCGCGAAAATATTCTGGAGGCTGTATTAAAGCCTTGGGCACGCAAACATTTTGGCCAACATTTCCAAGAGGACTCAGTACCATCGCACTCAGCACGCGCCACCCAAGAATAGTTACAAAATGAGGTTCCTCGCTTAATTTCCAGCGCCACCAAATCTCCGGATACCAATCCGTTGGACTATTGTGTCTGGAGTACTTTGGAAAACAAAGTTGACACTAAAAAATACCAAAATGTCGATCATCTCAAGCAAGCGCTTCGCCGGGAATGGGCCAAAATAACGCAGAGCAACATTCGGACAGTGTGTGACTGTTTTATTGGCTGTTTGAAGGCCATGATTCGTGGCAAAGGTGACCAATTCGAACAAATCTAAGCTTATTCTAAAATTTGATGCTACTTCCGACATATTTTGATTTCATTCAATAAAATTAAAAAAAAAAACAATGTAAAAATGATGTCGTTTGACTTTGTTGCAGTTTTTTATCTAACCCTGTATTTGTTGGGAGTATTATACACAGATCGAAATTATCCTCCGATCCTTACGAAATGTTTTATAGGGGTTGGGTAAGGGTTAGAATAGCAATCTATTATTTTACCCTACACCACAAGGTGATCACGGTATTATGTCTTTGTGCATTTGTTGTGCAGGCAAAACGAAATGGGATATACCCATAGTTGCTTTTGATGATCTGCATAGAATCACATTCTGAGTCGATCTATGAATGTCCGTTAGTCCGTCTGTCCATGTATTTTTGTAAACAAAGATCAGGTCGCATTTTTCACGATCCAGATGAACATTTGAACAAGTCATGTGTTTGACCCAAGAACGAACCCTATTGAAATTTGAGATAATCGGTAAAAATTTAGATATAGCCGTCATAAATACCTTCGTTCGATTTGCTGTTTATTGCGCACCAAAGGTGTAGTATCAGCCCAAATAGTATGGAATTTGCACGTTTGACCAGATTGGACCTGAAAATAAGTAATAAGATATAGATATAGCTCCCATATATATTGTTCATCTGATTTGTTATTTTCGTCCTCCGCAGTCGTAATATTCACTCTGTAACAACGATATTTGGGAAAATATAACAAATACAGCTCAGAAATAACTTTGCTAAATTTTATCGAGATCGGTTCAAATTTAGATGTAGCTCCCATATATATTCTTATCTGATTTAAAGTCAATTGTGCACCAAATGGGTAATACAAGCCCGAATTGAAAAGACACAAATGCCTTGGCTAATTTAGTCCTTTGGACTTTACTCTAAAACAATTCAAAATTAAAGACCAAACAATGCGGATTTTTGCATGAGATTAAGGTTAAGAGATTAGCGGGTAAATTGGATCACAAATTTGCGTGAAATTCGATTTGAAATTATTGATTTGCATTAAGTATTTGTAAAATATTGACTGTTACATTTAATTCCAATAAAATATAATTTTCAATTATGATTTTCTGTTAATTCCAAAACACTAATAGAAACAATTGCAAGAGTTAAAATGGCATACTATGGGTTTAGAAAGTTTAAGATGCAAATGTTTTCACCAGGTTGTCCATGAGAAATATATTTCATAATAAAAGATCTTGAATAACATCAGACTAGCAATTCCATGAAATTCAATGACTTTGGGGCATGAAGTCACTAATATTCTTATGAAGATCTAAATGTGTCTTTAGTATTCTTAAAAGTCCAAATTTCCAAATTTTATTCTTTAAAAATTTTTATTCTTTAAAAAAAAAAATTTCGGAAGGTCCATTGAAAAAGATTAAAAAATCCACGATCTTCGGAATTCAGAATTTTCATAAAAGAAATATATATTTTTTTTTTTGTGCAGAAAATCCTAAATAATTGTTTATACCCTATGTGTTGGGGTCGACCCCGCACGTCTATAGCATTTGATTACGTGTTTGTATAATACATTTGAATTTTTAGGACAGGCATTTTTGAATAATTTGAAGAACGAAGTCTAAAAAATGTTTTAATGATTAAGTACTTTTCGTATACTTGTAATACGCATTTTCGAAGCTACCTCTTTGTTTGAACACTACCCAGCAGCAGGGACCGCGACACCAATATTTCAAATTTTCAACTCCAACAGTTCACCAAAAGCGAATTGTACCAAATTAAGTATTATTTAGTGCAGATCTTACACTTAGTACGTATTTCCAAAACCAACTACTTATACATCATATCAAATTTCTAGACTTTTACGCTATCCGCTCACAAAATACGAAATTTTACCATATTTAGTTTTTAGTACCCTTATAGTTCGAATTTCCAAAAATCTACTAATATTGACCCTACCCACATGCAAAATTTCTAGATTCTACCTTCAGCATGTTTCGAAAGGAATGTTGTAAAATGGCTGTAACCCATGCATACCAGAGAACATCAACGACTAACACTATGCTACTTATTTTTATGTAAATAGATTGAAATTTACCAAATTTGAAGAAAATCGTGCTCTAATTTCACATTTTATGTTTGTAATTGCTATACAAAATTTCCGCCTTTGAGAGTTGGTCAATATCTCACCTAGCTAAAGCTTTGTAGAAATATTGTTTTGCCAATACAGTATCAGTGTCATAAATATTGTTGTTTTTTGGAAACTTAGAACTTTTGTGGGAGGGAGTGCGATGAAATATCTAATCATTACGCAGTATTTGAATTTGAAGAAAATTTGATGTTTAAAGGGGTGGTACAAGAAAGGGTAAATGATTTTGTCCATTTCCGTAATTGATCTAAGCGTGGTACCAGATAGTGTGGACCAATATTGTACATCTCGATAGGGAAATATCCTGATCCGAATATCGTCTAAAGAGTCTTATGATCTAAAACAACCTTTTTGATAAGGCACTTTTTAACTTTTTCAAAATAAGCCTGATGATGTAAAAACTCCACAAAATTGGGCATTAACTTTTATATTAATCATAAATAGTAGGTATATTGCAAAGTTATATATTCAAAGTGATATATTTCCAAAAAGTACGTGTTTTGGGACTCTGTAGAGATTTTCCAAGTCGCCTAATACCAATTTCATTACTGTATTTGCGCCTCGTACGTCTTACGTTATCGCTTCTCCCTGACGATGCATACAATGACATTTTTTTTAATCAAAATGTTTATTCTTCTTAATCAGTCTTTTTGTCTCTGTTAACATCTGTCGTTTCAATACCCGAAAGAAAATAAAAACAAACAACAAAAGGTATTATTTAATCGCTAATGTTGGTCCACTTGTTGTTTTGTTTGTTGTTGATAAATTTAAAAAAACAATTTAATTTAAAATTGAAAGTGTTAATTTATGCCAGGCAGCTACGTGGGTATGGTTAAAATGACACTTTTTTCTTTTTAGGGAAATGAAATTTTGGAAGAAATTAAATTAAAAAAATAAAGTTCTTGCAGGTAATACATTTTTTTGTTTTGATGTTGCCTTTTGATTATATTTATACGCAAATTATAGGTTTGGTCAGTATTTTGTATCCACCATCCATTTCAATTATGATGTATGAAATTTATCTGAGGAGAAATAAAAATATTTTTGGAATATTAATTTGTTGCTGGTTTTATTTTTTAATGAAAATTGAAAACATAAATTTTCGATTCGTTTTTTATCTTTTTATGGTATGAATTAAAAAAATATTTTTAATACTTCCAATATTTTTTATTCGTTTCTTAAAAATTTAATGAAATTTACATCACATATGAACTTTTTCAACACCATCGAATGTTTTCGAATTAAACACGATGTTTAAAAACACGAGCAGGCTGAGGATAATTGTAACCATCAGCACCGCCACCTACGCCGGAGCCACCTTGTTGAGAGCTGCCGGAGGAAAAGGAACCCGAATGACCACCGCCAAAACCAGAACCACCTACTGGTCCGGAAAATGAGGAACCTGTGCCGACACTGCCGGAGAATGAGCCTGTGGGTGCAGAGGCTGCAGCATGATGGGCTGCTGGTGGTACATAGGAACGGGAGGGAGCAGAGGCGGCACCGCTACTGCCGGAGAATGAAGACGAGCCATGGTGAGAAGGAGCGGCACCACCAGAATGGAAAGATCCCGAGGATGATCCACCCGATGGGAAAGATGCAGATGGTGCTGATTGATGTCCGGCTGCTGGTGGAACATATGATTTAGAAGGAGCCGAAGCAGCACCATGGGGACCGCCAAATGAACCACCTGTTGAACCACTGAAAGAGCTACCGTGGGATGGACCAGCAGAGCCACCGAAAGTGCTGCCGTGAGAAGCACCACTTGCGGGAGGAACATATTGTCTGGATGGAGCTGAGCCAGCACCATGAGAACCACCGAAGGAACCGCCAGTAGATCCACCATGGGAACCACCGAAAGAGCCACCAGCTGGAGCACTGAATGAGCTTCCGTGAGAAGGACCATGAGAACCACCAGTGGAACCACTGAACGAGCTTCCGTGAGAAGGACCAGTGGAACCGCCAAAAGAGCTACCATGAGAAGCACCACTAGCTGGGGGAACATATTGTCTGGATGGAGCAGGGGCAGCACCATGAGAGCCACCGAAGGAACCACCAGCAGATCCACCATGAGAACTACCAAAGGAACCGCCAGCAGATCCACCATGGGAACCACCACCAAAGGAACCTCCAGTTGAACCACCTACAGATCCACCATGGGAGCCACCGCCAAAGGAACCTCCCGACGATCCACCATGAGAACCACCACCGAATGAACCACCCGACGATCCACCATGGGAACCACCACCAAACGAACCGCCAGCGCCAAAGGATCCACCACCAGATGGTTGAGGATAATTGTAGCCCAATTCCGAAACATCAGCGGCTACAACAGCCAGCATGGCCAAAGCGGCAACCACAAAAAGTTTCTACAAAACAAAAACCACAAAAATACTCCATTAGACGGGAACCTCCAGGCATTCCATTATCCATTCTTACCATTTCTGGACAGATGATGTTTCTCGCCAAGTTTTTGGGGGAACTTAATTTTGAGTTATTATTCGGGTTATGGTCAGTGACCAAATGTGATTTCATTCTTAAAATCTTAAAGTTTTTATATGAGTGATTATCTTCTCAGTAAACCATTTTTCTTCTATTCTGTCATATTTGGCTATTTGTTTACCCTTTGCCTGTTGCGCAAAGCCCCACCACCCTTCTGGCCCCAAGTAATTGTTTGGCTTGTCTAATGACTTTTTTTTTTGTTTATTTCATAGAAAATTTAGAAAAAAAGTCATAAACCTCGCACACACAACAATTCTGTTAACCCCTGCAATGTGAGATTTGACCGCCAGTCTGGTTTTTAATTATTTTTTTCTCAGTTTTTTTTGCCCTGCATCTAGCTTGACAAGATCTCAAAAATCTTACTTTTTTTTGCGTTTAGTAATATTTGTTTTGCTATGTTTTTTTATTTTATTTTATTTTTATCCATAAATCTTTTTTATTTAATTATAGTAATTGGCAGTTGTCATCCTTTTGACTATCTATATTCTTATGTTTCAGTCTCCTTTTTGTGTTGCTAATGGTAAGAGATAAGGCACCACACACCAGTTTTGGTGGTTTGACTCATCTTCATTATTTTTGGATTTGTACACTCTACACAACTATTATTTATTACGATTCACTGAAAGGTATGCATCCCGTGTGATATCTAGGTCAATATTTGTTCCGTCAAAGTGTTGTTGGAAGTTTTTTTTTTTTTGGTTTTGAGAAATATTGAAAGTCGTAATCGACTTTAAACTTTTTTTTTAGAAAAAACTAAGTTTAGCCGGGTCGAAATAATTATATCTATAATTATACCTTTAAAAATTGAGATTATCAAGTCTTACAGCTATATGGGGCTATCCAAAATTGCGAAACTTTACAGCCAATTATCTGCCATAGAAGGAGGTGCCAATTACGAACTCCAAACACAAAGTTTAAATTTTTATGCAAAAAATATTACTAAAATCATCAAAACACCGAAGATTGGGAGGTAGCATTATAAGGGGCTATACAAAGACGTGGCAATTTTCTGCCATAGGAAGCAGTGCCTACTGCAAACTCCAAATTCCCAAATTGAAATAATTCTGTTGAAAACTGTGACACAAATCATCAAAATACGGAACAGCTCTTAAAATTATTTCAGTGACAGTTCATTATATTGTTTACAGGCGTACAAAAGCATTTTGGTGAGAGTTTTCCAGAAAAAAGTTATTCGTGATGGAATTCAAGCGTGATAGTGTGATTTCTTTATATTTGGCAGGAAAACCACTAGTGGCTATCGTTAGAGTACTCCAGCATTTAAATTTGTATAAATCTTTTGTGTCTCGGATCATCGCTCGTTACCGGGATACTGGTAGCGTAGACCGACGTCAGTGGACGAAAGAAAACAGCAACATCAGCAGAAATGGTTCGAAATGTAAAGAAGCGACTTGAACGAAACCCGCGTCGCAGTGGGCGAAAAATGGCTCGTGAGCTGCACATATCACAATTTTCCATTCGGCAAATATTGAAAAATGAGCTCGGGGTAAAGCCATTGAAAATTGAAAAGTGCAAGGACTTACACCGCAACTGAAAGAAAATAGACTTAAAAGAGCTAAAGAGTTGCTTCGCTTGGCCAAAAATGGTGAACTGCCGGATTTGGTTTTCTCCGATGAGAAAACATTTCTTGTCCAGTAGTTTGTAAACAAACAAAATGATCGTGTTCACTTGCAAAAGAGGTCAGCTGAAAATTTGCACCTTCGGTTGGCCACAAGAACTCAAGCGCAGACCATGGTGATGGTGTGGACCGCCATAACAGCCGATGGCCGCTCTCCGCTCGTATTAATCGGCCTTAGAATCAGAATAGAATATTCTTGAGGGTGTATTAAAACCTTGGACACGTAAACATTTTGGCCGCAGACCTTGGACATTCCAACGGGACTCAGCACCATCGCACTCAGCACGACACCCAGGAAATACCAAAGTGTCGATCACCTCAAGCAAGCGCTTCGCCGGGAATGGGCCAAAATACAGCAGAGCAACAATCGAGCAGTGTGTGACGGTTTCATTGGCCGTTTGAAGGCCATAATTCATGCCAAAGGTGACCAATTCGAACAAATATAAACTTATTCTAAAATTTAATGCTATTTCCAAAAATTGTTGCTTTCATTCAATAAAATTTAAAGAAAAAACTAGTAAGCAAAGGCTATAGTCGTGCGAGACCGACCCTGTGATACCCTACAACACTACAATATGTTAGAAGCCCCCTAATGTCCAAATCCATTTTGGAAGATTTCGCTTGGTGAGTTTGAACCCCTAAATATTTTACGATCACCTCCAAAAGCAAGAGGCCCCTCTGTATCTCCTCTATATGATTTGATTGTCTACAATATTTGACTATATTCGTCATCGGAATCAACATAAAAAGTCAGAAGTTCGCCTTTTGTGTAATTTGTATGTAAAGTATTTTTAGCGTTTCGGTAGAATGCAAATGTTGGGATTTTTTCACACAAAAGTAGTAGTCCATGCTACCCGCTATCCTAGACTTTAACTTCATGCGATATATCGTGCCCTTTGTTTTCTATTTCTGACCTTTATAACGGCTGCAAAATCAGGATTATTTTTAGTTGTTGGTCCATTTCAACCCCTAAATATGTTGCGGACTTCTTTGAAAACAATAGGCCTAGCCCTTCTGAGCCTAACCCTACCCTTGTGAAAATTTTCGTGAGGATCGGACGATAATTGCAATAATTGCAATAAACCCAACCTGTGTTGTAATGTGAAAAAATATTACAATAAATAGAAGTCAAATTGAAAAAATCGCATGCGATAACAAATATGAAAAAATAAAAATATGTCACAAAATACTACAAAATCTATATTAACATTATTATTGGCATCTTTTTATGCGATTTTTTTTGGATTTTATATTTTTATGCCAAGAGGGCATTTTGAATTGACAAAATTTGTCAAAATCGGTCCAGCCATTCATGAGATATATGCTTTCAAGCTAACATTCCCTTCCTTTATTATAGCATTGTATATATTTCGCTATATATATCCGATATATTTACTATCGGCATCTACATAACGGTCAGAATTGACCTGTTCGTCTATTTGTGATGTCGCCGGGATTAAAAATATTCGCCGTTTTATGGAAATTATGATTTTATTTAACACAAATTTTATGGTCTATTTCACCCATTAATATTACCCGATGACCATCAAAATTGGAAGACTTCTGCCCAGCCCTAAGTTCTAGCTCCATGCTAACTTCCCCGTCGATTGGTTTATAATTGCGACCTGTAGAGCAACTGCAAAATCAGGAAATTTTTCAGTTCTTGGTCCATTTCAACCCCTAAATATTATGCGATCATCTCCAAAAGAAATAGGGTTTTATTCTGACCTTAACCCCACCTTCATTTTCAATTTCGTGAGGATCGAACCATAATTGCGACATATATACGTTCCTATGTGGGAAACCAATATTTCGTGGTGTTACAAAATTGTTGGGCCCAATCAAACTCATAATACTCCCAATCTTACCCTGTATATGGGAGCTATATCCAAATCTGAACCGATCTCTATAAAAATTAGCAAAATTAGCTGTATAGGATATTTGGCGCCAATTATGGTTGTTGTGTAGAGTATTTTACGGGTGTGAGGAATAAAAGGCAAAATTGCCCAAATTTGATGCACTTTCTTGCAGGTTGAATTCGTTTGTATTTGCCAAAATCCATTCAATTCGGGCTTATATTAAGCATTTTGTGCACAATAAACTTGAAATTGAGCAATGATATATATGGGAGCTATATACAAATCTGAATCGATCTCAATAAAATTTGGCAAAAGTATTTCTGAGCTGTATTTTGTATATATTTATCCGAATATCGTTGTTACGGAGTGCATATTTCGGAAGTAGAGGAAAAATTTGACAAAGTTGAAGGAAGCTATTGATATATCTGAACCGGTTTCCACCAAATTTGACACACTTGTTTTTCACACAGGCGCAATTGGGATTAATATTACAAATTTGGTGCATAATAAAAGGCAAAGCGGGTGAAGATAGATTTAGATGGGAGCTATATCTAAATTTTGACCTATTATCTCCAAATTTAAAAGGGTTCGTCTTTGGACAAAACAAATATTTTGTGGGAAGTCTCGTCATGATAGGGTCATAAATGGGACCTGTACTTTGTTTACAAAAAGGACAGACTTACGAACGAAGGGATGGAATTGCACAAATCGGCTCAGAATGTGATTCTTTGCAGATTATCAAAAGGATATATGGGTCTAACTCGGTTCCTTTTCTATGTTACAAACAAATGCACAAAGACATAATACCATGACCAAAGTGTAAGTTTTAGAACAGGGGCATTTTATGTGTAACATATAGGCAGTAATAAATTCTTGCGGATGCTAAATGCAAAACGTATGCATACCCCATATTATTTTTAAGAAACTATTCTTGGAACCCATATGGCATTTTCGACTTCCTTATTTAATTTTAAACAATATGACAAGGAAACAAAACAATTGAAAATGCTGACGGGAATTTCCTAACACATTTTCAAAATCTCCTTTCACCCACAAAGTTATTTACATTATGTGGAAGATTTTGAAAATTACGATAATGAAAATCCGGTATAAATTTATGACCAGTAGCCCGTTATGACAAATATTCAAAAATAAAATATGTTTATTAACATCTGTTTATCAATAAATCACTCAATTTATTGCATTTGAAAACGTTTAACAAAGAAACAATTTACAGCAATAAACAATTATAACAAACGAAAACATTTAGAGATTGTGAAATAAAAAAAATGATTTTGTTTCCCAAAATTGTACAACATTCCCGACATGTCTACGTATCAACAAAAAAAAAAAAAAAAAAAAAACACGGAAGGGTAGTTGTGTGAGAGTAATTCACATTTTCGAAGAAGTAAATATCGTAATTCAAAACGAGCACAAAGATTTATGGAAGAATTAAAGTGTCATTTAAATGGAATAAATTATTCATTCAAATTTGTATACAATAAATAAATTTTTGAATTGGATTAGCGTGTTCACACACACCCCCCTTTTAGATATGTTAAACATATTTTCGATTATATTTTAATACAAAACACTAGCTAAACCTGTCTGTTTACAGGGTGCTCAACAAATTCGACTTTAACTCATCTGGTATGAAATTATGCTAATGTTATGGGATTATGTGGCTATTTTTTTCTCGCTTACATTTGAAACTGTAATCTGAATATAGCTGAGAATTGTTTATTATTGTGGTCATTCTCATTACTGTTTAAAAACATATATTCATGAATGCAAATTGAGGTTGTTTTTTGCTGTTGTGTTAACGCCATTAGGAAGCTAATTTTTAAAAAGTGCTCAATTTCATACATTTTTTATTAAATTTTAAAATTATTAACTTGCTGCAGCGTTTTGCACTGGGCACTGATTTTTTTTTGATTTTTTATGTTTTTTTTTCATAAAGTTTTTGTTTAACTCTATGGGAAGTGAACGAAGCAAATATTATAATTTGTATTTGGCAATATTTAGGCATATAATTTGCATAATTTCATTGCAAATGATTGATCTGTTCGCTTTATTTTTAACAAACATTTTTAAATTCCGAAATTCGCAATTTTTAAAAGTCTTTATTTTTAGGAATTAATGAATGTCTGCTACTTATAAAAAACAAGTAAAAAAGCTGTAAGTTCGGCCGGGCCGAACTTTTAATACCCTTCACAATTTGGAAAAAATTTGGCAATTTTTAAAATAATAAAAAATTTGTTTATGATGTAGTTAAAATCATCAAAATACCGAATATCGGGGGTACCGTTATATGGGAGGTATACGAAGACGTGGACCTGCACAGTCAATTTTCTATCTTAGGCTGTAGTATCCATTACGAACTTCAAACACCAAATTTGAAAACAATTCCGGTAAATGATGTCGCTAAAATCATCAAAATAATAAATATCGGGAGGTACCGTTATATGGGGGCTATACGAAGACGCGGACCTACATGGCCCATTTTCAATACCAAAAGTCCTGCAGACAAAAAACACATTTTTTATCAACTCACTTCATTTCGTTCGGAAGCTAGAGTGATTTCCACAGACGGACAGCCGGACGGACATAGAAGTTTATGCTGATCAAGAATATATATACTTTGTGGGGTCTAAAATTTATATTTCGAGGTGTTACAAACGGAATGACAAACTTAATATACCCTCCATACTATGGTGGAGGGTATAACAAGTTGAAAAATATCAGTTGGCTTTGCCGACAGATATATACCCTCAGTCTATGTCAGTTTATTAAAAGTATATTTTGACTTACATTAGATTATTCACAATGTTTATCCTTTATGGAGGAGATACCGAAGGAATGGACTTCTCATCTGAACTGACTCTGACAAAAAATATTTTTGAGTGACCGATTCGGACAATTTCGACTTTCAATTTATATGGGAATTTGATTTTTTAAAAATGTTGAAATGTGAAGTAGCAAATCATTCCACTTTATCTAATACTGATCAAAATAATTAGATGTGCAAAATTGGAAGGAAATCAGACATCTATGACAATTTTTTGGGCATAATCATTGTTTAGTTTTGTAGAAACTGTACATGTTGTAAAAATAGTTTGTGTGTTGAATGTTCTTCTTTAAATTCTTATCTCATTTTTATTTGTCTTTTCCGAAGAATGTAAATTAGTTAAATAAAGAAAACACTTAAGATGCATGTGTTTTCCAAATGCTAGGTTTATGGTCGGTAATAAATAATGTAATAAATGTCACGGCCATAAATAGAAGATAAGAAAGAGTCGATCACAAATTAGGTACGTCTCGTTTTCTCCCGCAACGTATTGTGTGCGTTAATGCACAGCGTGCATTAGTAAATAAAATGCATGTGTTAATGTATTAGATGTAAGCTTTAGTGTTAAGAATATGTTGTAAATAAATTGAGTTCCCTTCCAGCCACGGAACGAGAAAGATCATCTCGCGGCGTTTTCTTTTTCTTTCGTTAGTTACATCGCTTTGTGATGAGGTTAGGAGTCGACCTCATCAATCATAATAATATTAATCTTTTGCGGGGGAAGCACCAAAAGTAATGAGCCGATAAATTTCAAATTCACATCAGATGTCTCGTTGATCGAAATATTTAAATAAACCAGGTTTGAATAGAATCACTGACTTGTTTTGGGAGTAATGAATAATATCAGTAGATAAAGTTGTGACCTTTTGTGGGGGAGATAGCAGAAGGGTCAGGCCGATATTTATCATTTTCACACCAGAACTTACGTTAGTAAAAATATATGTGAAACTTGAAGAGAAACGAATGCTTCCTTCGCATTTTATAAACCAAACAGGGTGAGATGAAAAAACTGCAACCAACTTCAGACTGCTGTCATTTCCAAGCCACTTGTCCGACAGATGTTAAAATTGTTCCAGTGACAGCTAATTATATTGTTTACAAGCGTAAACAAGAATATTGGAGAGAGGTTTCCAGAAAAAAAAAATCCATCACGAATTCTAGCGTAATAGTGTGATTTCTTTATACTTGGGTGGAAAACAACAAGTGGCTATCGTTAGAGCAGTCCAGCATTTAAATGTGAATAAATCTTTTGTATCTCGTACCATCGCTCGTTAACGCTATACTGGTAGCGTAGCCCGACGTCAAGAAAGCGGACGAAGGAAAGCAACAACATCAGCAGAAATAGTGGGAAAAGCAAAGAAGCGACTTGATCGAAACCCGCGTCGCAGTGGCCGAAAATGGCTCGTGAGCTGAACATATCGCAATATACCTTTCGGCATATATTAACTTGGGTTAAAGCCATTGAAATTCCAAAATGTGCAAGAACTTGCACCGCAATAGAAATAAAATAAACTCAGAAGAACTAAAGAGTTGTTTCGCTTGGCCGAAAGTGATGAACTGTTCTGTTTGCCCCGATGAGAAAACATTCGTTGTCCATCGTGTTTATTTGCCAAAGATGTCAGCTGAAAATGTGCACCTTCGGTTGGCCACCAGAACTGAAGCGTCGCCCGTAGAGATGGTGTGGCCGCCATGACAGCCGATGGGCGCTCTCTGCTCGTATTAATCGACCGTGGCATCAGAATAAATGCCGAATATTATCGCGAAAATATTCTGAAGGGTGTATTAAAGCCTTGGCCACGCAAACATTTTGTCCGCAGACCTTCAACATTCCAACAGGACTCAGCACCATCGCACTCAGCACGCACCACCCAAGAGCGGTTGCAAAATGAGGTTCCTTGCTTCATTTCCAGCGCACAATGGCCACCAAAATCTCCGGATACCAATTCGTTGGACTATTGCGTTTGGAGTATTTTGGAAAGCAAAGTTGGCACTAAAAATTACCAAAGTGTCGATCACCTAAAGCAAGGTCTTTGCCGAAAATTGGCCTAAATACCGCAGAACATTGCCACGGAACAACATTCGGGCAGCGTTTGAAGGCCATAATTCGTGCTAAAGGTGACTAATTCGAATAAATCTAAATATATTCTTCAATTTGATGCTATTTCCGACATGTTTTGGTTTAAAATTATGGCGTTTGACTTTGCTGCGTTTTTTTTATCTCACCCTGTATATATACATATACTTGTGGTATATCCGACAAGTAGTTTTAGTTTGCGAAAATTACTAAAAGCGTCAAATTGGTACAATATTGTTATTGATCATTATATAGTGGCTTGAAATTGAAAATTGTGAATGGATGTCACACTTTGTGTAGTGGACTAAAATTCGACGGAACATTAAAGGTACGAATAGTACTAACAGTTACAATATTGTGCAACATTGTTATTGAGGAATTGGAGATTTTCTCAATTAATGTTGGCGAGGTAGAGGAGTAGAGGGAAATTTCAGAAGATAAGTACGCTAAGAGCGCCAGAAATGCTAAAAATAATGACTAACTAGTATTAACTTGTTGAGAGGTAGAACTCGGACAGTTTGGTGGGTCATACTTGGTCGTGATAAAATTCAATGTTTGGTAATTTGTACGCAAACAGTACGAAAATTCTTAAAATGTGCTAAATGACACAGCATTGTTATAGAACTATTTGTAATAGCTGGAACTTTGAAATTTTCTCTCGAGGCCACCCATGAAGCGGAGGCTAAGAACTAAAATTTTCATTAAATGATAGTTTACATTTTTGATAATATTTATTTATTTTTTAGTCCATTGAAATGAAAAACATAACAATTAATAGCTATTCCATTTTAAGGGATCTCAGTTTAAGCACGGCGTCTATAGGCGACACGGCGAACAGTCTTGTATTTGTAACCTTCGTTAGTTTGATAAGAAGTACCAACATTAGCTGGGGCAGAGTAGGATTGAGCGGAGGCATGTGACTGAACGGCGGCAGGGGCAGAGTAGTGTTGAACTGGAGCAGGGGCCGGAGCTGAGAAATGTTGAACTGGAGCTGGGGCGGGAGCAGCATGGTGTTGGACTGGAGCGGGGGCAGAGTGGTGATGGACAGGTGCTGGGGCGGAGTAATGTTGAACTGGAGCTGGGGCAGGGGCAGAGTGGTGATGGACAGGTGCTGGGGCGGAGTAATGTTGAACTGGAGCTGGGGCGGGAGCGGAGTAATGTTGAACTGGAGCTGGAGCGGGAGCAGCGTGGTGTTCAACTGGAGCAGGTGCTGAGTAATGTTGTACTGGAGCTGGAGCAGCGTGGTGTTCAACTGGAGCAGGGGCGGAGTAATGTTGAACTGGAGCTGGGGCAGGAGCAGCGTGGTGTTCAACTGGAGCTGGGGCGGAATAATGTTGTACTGGGGCTGGGGCGGGAGCAGCGTAGTGATGGACTGGAGCGGGAGCGGAGTAATGTTGCACCGGAGCTGGGGCGGGAGCAGAGTATTGTTGCACTGGAGCTGGTGCAGAATATTGCTCTACATGAGCAGCTGCAGGTTCTTCATAATTATAGCCTAATTCAGAAACATCAGCATAAACGCTGGCGCACAAGGCAAGGGCAACAATGAAGAATTTCTGTACCATGAAAAGAAAACATCCATTTAATAAATCAATCATAGTCTTTATGAAGTGTAAACATAAGTTTTATCCTCCATTTGTATTTTTTTCTTACCATTTTTATTTTTGTTGATTGGTTGTTATGTTTATGGTGTGGATGCTCGAAAGCTAATGATGTTGCCTAACAATCTATGGCTTTATTTTATATGTAAATCTTCTGAAAAGTGCCACTGTTAGGCCAGTAGAATATTTCGCAACAGCTCGTTTCGAAACGAAGAAACCAATAGCCAATAGGCGGAAGTCTATTATTCTGAAAAAAAAAAAAAAAATAAGAATACAGTTTTGAACATTAATTTATTATATTCATCTCATCACAAAAGGAAAAAGTCAAATTTTACACGAGTCAAAATATAACACCAACAACAATAATCACTATTGCAAGTTAAGCTTTAGGTTCGATGATAGTTTTCAATTAATGCTAATGAATTTAAAGATTTAAATATGCCTATGAACAAGAATAGAATTGTTTATATTTGGTCATTTTGTTGAAAGTATAATAAATTATCAATCATTGGATATGTGACACAAAAGGCGATTGTATTGAAAATATATTTTATTTTAAAACTTCTGAAGAGATATGTTAAATTTAAAAGTTAGTTAGCAGGTGTGAAATTTGTTTAAAATATGATATCAATTATTAATAATTTATATGCAATTTCTTATTAAAAGTTATAGAAGAAACTGCAAACGAATCAAATTATATAATACTTTATTTATGAAGACATGTGAGAATTATTACACCCTACAATATTTATGTTTGAGGTATTATAAGTTTGATTGAGACAAAAATTATGTAATATCTCAAAATATTGGTTTCCCACATAGGAAGTATATATGGGTTTTCCCATATCGCCGAGCTGAGTCGATCTAGCTATGTATGTCCGTCCGTCCATGTTGTAATAACTCTACAGTTCGCAATAACAGTCCAATCATCACGAAATTTAGAATAGAGGTGGAGCCAGAATAGAAGCCTATTGCTTTTTGAGATGATCGCACAATACTTAGGGGTTAAAATGGATCAAAAACTGATAAATTTCCTGATTTTGCAGTTGATCTACAAGTCGCAATTATAGACCAATAGACGCGGAAGTTAGCATGGAGCTAGAACTTAGTTAGTTTTCCAATTTTGATGGTCATCGGGTAATATTTAATGGGTGAAATAGATCATAACATTTGTGTTAAATAAAAGTCAAATTTTCCATTAAACCGGGAATATTTTTAAACAAACGGCAAAAACACAAAGGTCAATTCTGATCGTTACGTAGATGCTGATAGTAAATATATCGGATATATATAGCGAAATATATACAATGTGCATATACAAAGGAAGGGGATGTCAGCTAGAATGCTTATATCTCATGAATATTCGACTGGATCGGACTTTTGTGTGAAAAAATACCAGCATTACTTAAAGGCGATATCCGTAATCCACAAAAGGCGAACTTCTGGTTTTTTATAGCCAAATATCGCAGACAAGCAAAACATGTAGATGGGTCTAAATTTGGAGATGCAGATGGGCATCTTTCTTTTGGTGACGATCGCAAAATAATTAGTGGTTCAAAACAGAAAACATTTCCTGATCACACAATTGAAGTCAATCGACACGCCTGAGAAGAGAGTTAAGGACAGGGAAGAAGTCTAGCATTTTGGATGTCCATTGGATTATATTTAGCTGTAACGGAGTGGGTAAATATTGGTCAAATCTCCCTGGTCAAAATGCTAAAGGTAATATCTGGACAGTGCTCTGTGACATAATTTCAAAAGCGAAATCTTCCAAAATGGATTTGGACATAATGGGGCTCCAACATATTGTAGTATTGTAGGGCATAATATTGTCGGCCCCTGCACGACTATAAACTTTGCTTACTTGTTATACCCTACAACACTAAGTGTTGGGGGTATTATAAGTTTGATTGGGCCAAAATTTATGTAACACCACTAAATATTGATTTCACACATAGGAAAGTATATATGGATCTTCCTATCTCGCAGAGCTGAGTCGATCTAGCTATGTATATCCGTCCGTCCGTCTGTCCATGTTAATTTGTAGTCACTCTACAGGTCGCAATTATGGTCCGATCATCACGAAATTTAGAATGGAGTTGGGGTTTGGGCCAGAATAGAACCCTATATCTTTTGGAGATGATCGCATAATATTTAGGGGTTGAAATGAACCAAATATTGAAAAATTTCCTGATTTTGCAGTTGCTCTACAGGTCGCAGTTATACACCAATCGACCCGTAAGTTAGCATGTGGCTAGAGCTTAAGGCTGGGCAGAAGTCTTCCAATTTTGATGGTAATCGGGTAATATTTAGTGGGTCAAGAGTCCATGACACTTGTGTTAAATAAAATCAAATTTTCCATTAAACCTCGAATATTTTTAATCTCGGCGAAATCACAAATATACGAACAGGTCAATCCTGGCCGTTACGTAGATGCCAATAGTAAATATATCGGATATATATATATATATCGAAATATGTACAATATACATATAAAGGAAAGGGATGTTAGCTAAAATTCTTATATCTCAAGAATTGCTGGACCGATTTTGACAAATTATGTCAATTCATAAGAGAATAAAATTAAAAAAAAAAATTGCATAAAAATGTGTCAATAATGGTGTTATTATAGATTTTGTAGCATTTTGTGACATTTTTTTATTTTTTTTATATTTTTTATCGCATGTGATATTTTCAATTTGACTTATAATGTTGAAATGTACATTTTGTAAATTTTTTTCACCTTACAACACTAGTCGGGGTTATTATATACAGATTGCAATTATCGTCCGATCTTCACGAAAATTTTCACAAGGGTAGGGTTAGGCTCCGAAGAGCTATTATTTTCAAAGATGACGGCAATATATTTAGGGGTTGAAATGGACCAACCACTAAAAATGTTCCTGATTTTGCAGCCGTTATAAGGTCGCAAATAGAAACCAAAGGACAGCGGGTAGAATGGACCTCTACTTTTGTGTGAAAAAATACCAACATTACTTACAGGCGTTCCGAAATACACAAAAGGCGAACTTCTGGCTTTTTAATGCTAATTTCGTTGATGAATATAGCCAAATATCGTAGACAAGCAAATCATATAGATGGGTTTAAATTTGTAGATGCTGAAAGGCTTCTTGCTTTGGAGATGATCGCAAAATATTAAGGGACTCAAATGAACCAAAACAGAAAAAAATTACTGATCACACAATTAAAGCCAATCGACATTCCTGAGAAGAGAGTTAAGGATAGGGAAGAATTCTAGCTTTTTGGATGACCATTGGATTATATTTAGCTGTAAAATGGACCACAACAACTAACAGCACGACGGAGTGCGCAAATGTTCCTGTTCAAAATGGTAAGGGCAATATCTGGGCAGTGCTCCATGACAAAATTTCAAAAGCGAAATCTTCCAAAATGGACTTGGACATAAGGGTGCTTCTAACATATTGTAGTGTTGTAGGTTATCACATAGTCGGCCCCGCACGACTATAGTCTTTGCTTACTTGTTGAAAATGAGCTGGTCTTGGCTGTTAATATAAAAATCACAATTACAGAAACGAATGACAAATAAAAGTTTGAAAAATCCAAAAATGTGATATCAAAATCGGGATGTGATATAATATCGGGAGGTGCCGTTATATGGGGGCATTATGAAAACATGGACCTGCTCACACAATTTTTTGTCTTAGGCTGTAGTATACATTACGAATATCAAATACAAAATTTGAAAAAATTCCGGTGAATAATGTCGCTTAAATCATCCAAATACCGAATATCGTGAGGCACTGTTTTAAGGGGGCTATACGAAGACGTGGATCTGCACATACAATTTTCTATCATAGTCTATAGTACCCATTACGAATACCAAATTTGAAACAATTCTTGTGAATAATGTCACTAAAATCATCAAAATATAGAATTTCTGGAGGTACCGTTATATGGGGGCCATACCAAAACTTGGACCTACATGGCCCATTTTCAATCCCAAAAGTCCTGCATACATAATATACATTTGAGTAAAATTTTATCATTCTACTTCATTTCGTTTGGAAGCTAGAGTGATTCGAAATAATGCCATACTGTCCTTCACAAATGTTACCTTTGGTGCTACACTTCTGCGCTGTCCTTAACCCTAACCTCATGCAAAATTTCCGTGTCTATTGGTGTTTAATTGTGACCTGTAATTGTTGGTCTATTTGAATCACTAAATATAGATCTTGAATTCTGGGCCCAACTATATCCCCATGCTAAATTTCTTGAGAAATTCAACGAACCAGCTTAATTTAATATTGTATTTTATCCTTTTTCTGGCAAGAGGCCATTCCGAATTTGTGAGAATTGTCAGAATCCGTCCAGCCGTTCTTGACTTATAAGCGGTCTAACTAACACCCCCTTCATTGATATATTTTACTATATGTGCGATATGTTGGCTCTGAGAATCAATGCTACGGCCAGAAGTGACATTTTCATGCATTTATGATTTGGCCAGGATTAAAAATAGGCACGGTTAAGTGGAAATTTTCGTATTTTTTTACCCTCCACCACAAGGTGGTCAGGGTATTATGTCTATGTGCATTTGTTTTTAACAGGCATAAGGAAGCGAGATAGACCCATACTTTCTTTTGATGATCTGCATAGAATCACATTCTGAGTCGATTTATGCATGTCGTATTTTTGTAAACAAAGTACAGTTCGCATTTATTACCCTATCCAGATGAATTTTTGAACAAATCATTTGTTTGGCCCAAGGACGAACCCTATTGAAATTGGAGATAATCGGTCAAAATTTTAGATATAGCTCCCATATATATCTTCGTCCGATTTGCTTTTATTGTGCACCAAACGTGTAATATCAGTCCGAATGGTATGGAATTTTGCACGTACGATCAGATTGGACCTGAAAATAAGTATGCCAAATTTGATCGAAATCGGTTCAGATATAGCTATAGCTCCCATATATATTGTTCATCCAATTTGTTATTTTTGTCCTCCGCAGCCGT